GTTTTTTATATTGCTTCTTATTTTTCATAATAAAATGTTATTTTTTTTTAATTTTTCACAGTGTCTTTTGTTGACGCAAAATTCATTCATAAATATTTATATTTGTTACTAAGGCTAGAGTTTTGCGAAAAAAAAAACGAAAATAGTCCTCAGCTCGGTCGATGTAGAAATGATGACGCCATGTCAGGATAAACAAAAGGAAAAAATTGACCCTCTAAAATACACAAAATATTCAATTCGCTGCACGCACACTATCAATCTATTTTCTCGGGATCTAGAGCAAAAAAAACTAACAAATATAGAAAAAATCGATATATTTACTAAAATACATCAAAAGAAACGAATTAAAAGAGACAGCTATTTATATTGCTATAAACTAAAGATAGACTAAAAGGAAACAGAGGAAAGTAGAATTTTTATATGTACTTACGCATGTGTGTATGTATGTACGGGTGTCCTTTGCTATGCACTATGCTTGGCAACAGTGGCAAACAGAGTAGCGTTATCGTTTTGGGTGCCTATGCGGAGTTGGTATGTTGTGAAACCAATCACTGCCAACATCTCGAGTTTGTATTGCGGACACTATTGCTGACGTAGCTAATGCCTTGAACTCATCTGCGCCGTGGAATGAGTACATTATGCGTCGCTGTGGCGTTAGTAAACAGAAATACTTTTAATACAAATACATACATGCATATGTATATCGCCGTTTAAAGTACAAAACTGCGTATCAACAAAATGCGAAACCGCGTATGTGAGGTAGCATTAATTGGTTTCTAGAGAGTAAAAACACCTATATTTCAAAATGGGTCACTATTTTATAAAGCAATCGCATTTCTGGATAGTATATTTCAGGACAAATGGATAAGGTTTGAGCCAAGAGCTTGCGTGAGTAAATCCAATTTTTGGCAAAAAATGTGAGTTACGCGATTTTGCAGAACGACGATACGCGGATTTGTACTTTAAACGACGATGTGTGATTTCGTCTCCTTTCAAGGATATTTTCATGCTACAATATACAATATATTCAAATTCATTGATGGAGCAAAGAATGTTTAAATATAAACACTCGATACTCCTCGCATTATTTGAAATGAGTATTTATTTCTGTGTTCGTATGGAAAAGTAGCTTATGTCGAAAGGCTGGATTTACTATAATGCGGCAATCCCTTTATTTTTTAGACGGCAAGGAATTTTTTGATGAGACTTAATAAGAATATTGACTTGCTAGTATCGGAACTATTTCTTCCACGTTTATTTGCCAAAAGTTGTTCAACGGCTTAGCGCCTGTGAGTCATTCGCAATCGTATGCTGCGAATGCCTATTTATACTAAAGCCAGCCTTTCGACATAAGCTACTTTTCCATATGAACACAGATTTAATGGATTCAGACGTTTTTTTAACTATAACGATTGTAAGACGGCAATTAAAGCGCTTACAATCTGATCTACTGTATTAGTGCTTATTATTGATTTAAAATTATGCAGTTGTTCAAAATATACCCATGAAGTTATATAACAACAAGAAAGTCAGACAGTTACCTACATACATATGTATATATCGACATCCGCACCATATTAGCATAGTAATGACCCTAATCAAAGTTAAATAGGGATAGGCAGCTGGTCCGATATCAGTTGCCTTTCTTGCCACTTCTGCAGCCCATTACATTCACTTCTGCTCAGCGTTCCCTTTCAGAACTTGCATGCTTCCCTAGCATCCTCCGAACTTCACTTTCTATCAATATTCGTATCAGCATTGCTTGCCCAACTTTTATCGCACTGTAGTCATTTTCAACATTCTACCTGCTAACAGCAGCTATAAAACTCAATCAAAGCATTACAATCAATCGTTCCAATTTCAGTGAATTGAAAAACTTTTGTGCGCATCTTAATTTTCTGCAACTTTTGCCATTTTTTTCTTTATTTCATTTTATTTATTTCTTTCGAAACAGTCGACAATCGAAAACTTGTTCCTACCAACCGGCGCCAACACCATGCCACTAACTCAAATCGCACATTTGCCTACTGTCAACTATTGTAAGTGTCCTTTAAATAGCTATATCTGCAGCTAAAATTTCAAGCGTATGCACCAGCATTTAAACTTTCTTGCCTACATACATACATACTTCTCTTCACTGCCATTTCACCAAACATTTCGTAGCCTCTCCACCTCCACCTGTCAGGCATAAATCTCTTTTGTGGTGTTGCAAATTTCGCTTGCGTAAGTCATAAAAATAGTTTGAAAGTCTAAGGCTTAGGCAGCGTGTTGGGGCAAAGCCGACCGACTTGCAAACAGCCAACGCATGCCGTCACATATTTCACACATAGTCTACGCATATATCTTTACTTTTGATGACTGCAGGAATTTCTTTTCAGTCACTTTACGCCGCCACCTTTTCCATGGCAAGACTTGATGTCTACCTTCTACATAGTGTTTTGCCTGAATAGGCGGCTTTGCAGTACAGCTTGGTTAAGCAGCTGATTTTATGTAGGTCAGCTGATGGGAGTATTTCTACAGCTCACGCTGTATGTGTGTGCGTTGGTATGTATGATGCCCTTATGAGTCATAGGGCATATTTACGATGTCAGTGGAATTTATTCTAATTTGTCATCTGCATAGAAATACGATTTAGACGTTGCTTTCACATAGTTTCCTTGGCCATAAAAATAAGTAATTTATGTTTGTACAATGGTAGAATTTTAGCATTTATTCTTATACACGTACAAAAGTGTTTACATATGTATGTATGTATGTATGTATACACGAGTATATGTATGTATAACGAAATTTGTTTACTACTTTACTTTCGCTTTTTATGGGAATTTCATGGCAATGGAGTGTCATGGAAATGAATATTTTCAAAGTGCTCTAAATTATTTAATAGAGAAGTTCCAAAACTGGAAGGAAAAAGTGCATTTCTAACACTAACAGGTCTATTCGGCACGTAACCGAAAAATATTTTACAGAGCAATATTTTGTTACCAGCCTATGAGATCGCAACAAAATGTATCGGTTACAAGAGTGCACAGAATGCGAAAAGGGTTTAAAATCTGCCAGGAACTTTATTTGGTTACACATTTACACACAAAATAGACCTGTCAATCTCTGTTATCTTTGGACCATCAAGCTTCCTTCATTCATTACACAAATGTTGTTTCGTTTAACTGGTTGTTCTGAGAATTTTTTCTGCTCAACAGGTTTTCTCTTAATTTTTTTTTTTCAGCTACAGCTTTTGAAATCTTTCCCTGGAACGCTGTTCGAAAACCAGATACCGAATTTTCTTTTTTCGAGATGTTTAGAAGTTATTTCTGTATTCGGTATTTGCCCTTTCAACTGCCTAATGCTTGGGTTTCATTAGGTCAATTTGATTGACAACATAAACTGTCTTCTCTGCCATCGTCGTCATATCTTGCTGAAAGCGTTTTCATTCAGCTCCACGAACATAAAAGCGTTTGTCAATGATTGTAGACAAATCTTGGGGTCAATCGACTGACATACCGTTTCCACCATAAATGTCAAAGCAGTGTTTTTAGAAGAAGAAGAATTAGCTGTCAAAGCAGAAAAAGTAACTGACCAAAGTGAAAATTTCAAAGGACTGGCTACGAGCTTAAACAATTTTTTTATACAATAAATTCAATCAATGCAAAACAAAAAGAAATGAACAAAAAGCGAGCTTCGATTGCCTTTGCATCAATTTGTTTGATCGCGACTTTAAAAGCGTGGAAAAAAAAATGCGTGAAAAGAAATAAAAAGCAATGGTGGATTCGTCCAGGGCTCAGACACAGGGCCACCAGTGGTTTCTACTCCACACTGCGTTTTAAATTACGTCAGCAGGATCCTCAATGGTTTAAAAATTTTGTGCGAATGAGTTGTGAAGACTTTGACTACCTGGTGGAGCATCTCACACCATACATTGGCAAGAGCAATACCCGATTCAGGAAAGCAATTTCAGTCGGCGAAAGACTCGCCGTAACTTTACGGTATCTGGCTACAGGAGATAGCTTTTCAAGTTTAATGACGGTTTTTCTTATTGGTAAAACTACAATATGCCACATAGTACATGAAACATGTGCTGCTATTTTTACAGGATTGAAAGATCAGTTTTTAAAGGTGAGTATTTTGAAATTAATTTCGATCACTAGTGTGAATAAGATGGAATATGCATTCATTTATTTACATAGGTCCCAAATACCCCTGGACAATGGGCAGAAGTAGCAGATCATTTTGCAAAGCGTTGGAACTTTCCAAACTGTTGTGGTGCTTTGGACGGTAAGCACATAATGATACAGGCACCTGCTAACTGTGGCTCCGAATACTTTAATTATAAAAAATTCAATAGTATTGTTTTAATGGCTTTGGTGGACGCAGAATATAAGTTTCTTTTTGTAGAAGTTGGAGCATACGGCCGCGAATCTGATGGAGGTGTTTTCGCAAGGCAAGTTTTGGACAATATATCCACCCATCTTATATTCATGTAATATTCATATTCATATGTGTTTTTAATTTTAGATGCACGCTTTCAAGTGCTCTTGCTGACAACACTATTAATTTTCCACCCCGCAGACCACTACCGAATGAGGCAGATCCAATGCCATTTGTCATTATTGCAGACGATGCCTTTCCGCTGAAACCATACATTTTGAAACCATTCTCTTATCGTGAACAAGTAATGTCGCATAAAATATTTAACTACAGATTATCACGAGCAAGAAACGTGGTTGAAAATGTGTTTGGCATATGCGCGGCACGGTTCAGGATCCTTAGAAGGCCAATGGATGTTAAACCTGAGAACGCAAAGACCATCGTTCTAGCAATTTGTGTTATACATAACTTTTTAATATCAATAAACTCATCCTATTTAACTAGAACCGACACTGACAATGAAATAAACGGAGAATTAGTGGCGGGTAATTGGCGATTAGAACTTGGACCAAACGGAAAGCTAATTTCACTTCGTGCAAGTACCACTCTGGGTAGGCCAGCAGATGATGCAATAAATGTTCGAGCTGCTTTTATGGAGTATTTTATGACACCGTATGGAGAAGTCCCATGGCAATATAATAGAACGATTATTCACAACTCATTTTAAAAGTCAGTGGCCCGTAGTCATAGTCAAAATAAAGTCGACTTTAAAGTTAGTTGCAGCTTTTTGACATAATTTTCAATGGGATATCTGTCAACAAAGCTGCAACTAACTTTAAAGTCGACTTTATTTTGACTATGACTACGGGCCAGTAACTTCGCTTAGATGAAATTTGTTAGTGTAACTCTTTGCAGTGTTATATTTACCCATATAACTAGTTTTTTAATTGATTTGCATTCTAATATTAACCAATTACCCACAGAATTGAGTACATGGTGATTTTTTTTACCATATTCTTGATGTTTTTCATGATAAATCGTTTAAATTAACGAAAATATTTATCATGAAAAATATTGTGAACATTGTAAAAAAGTGGCATTTTTGTTTAATATTTGCAATGTTCTTCAAGTAAAATTTTTTTGTTATTTTTTATTAAAATATCTATGGTTCATGCTTTCATCAAAACCACATAAGTCAAACTTTCAAACTTTATGCAAATCTTAGAAAAATTCAACAAATTTTCATCTAAATTTTTAACTTTTTAATCTGAATTTTCAGAAAAATGCTGGGTACGCAGATAGATCGGTTAAGTTATTCTAGTGAAACAAGTGCAAGTTTTAAGCGGCGTTGATTTTTAATGAATTAATATTTCCGACGGATTTTGCGGTTTTCTGCATATAACAAGTGCAATTTATGAAATATAGCGTTAATTTAAACTTGTTTTACTAGAATTACTTACACTTTACACTTTAGAAACTTACACTTGTTTACTAGAATTACTTACCCGATCTATCTGCCAGCTCAAAATTTTTCTAAAAATTCAGATTAAAAAGTTCAAAATTTAGACGAAAATTCGTTGAATTTTTCTAAGGTCTGCATAAAGTTTGAAAGTTTGACTTATGTGGTTTTGATGAAAGCATAAACCATAATGTAATAAAAAAATAACAAAAAAAAATTTACTTGAAAAACATTGGAAATTTTAAACAAAAAACTCCATGCTCTCACGAATTTTCACTTGGTGCAATTTTTGAAACCCTTATTTATGTTGTTTCTATTGTTGATCAAACTATATCTTAAATGAAAACTCGTAAAAAGAAATAAATAAACGTAAGTGGCAAATGATATCATTTAATATAAAAAAGCTGAAGTTGAATGTTGTCTAAGACATACAATACAGAATGATTTCAAAACTATTTTGAAAAGAATTTAACTAACAAAAAAAACCAATTTCATTTTACATACTTTCACATAAATATCCTTATCATTCATATGTTTAAAAAGAAAATGAATTCAATTAAAAATTTGTACTTTTAATTACACATAAGAAATTGATTTAATTCAAAAGGCACATGAAGAAAATTCATCAAGATTTCTTAAAGTTAAAACTTGGGAAAAAATAAAAAAAATTGATTAAATTAAAATGGCACACGAAGAAAATTCACTTAAATGTCTTAAATCTATTTATTGTTGTTTTGAGATCATTGCCAGTAATTCGAGTTTGGCGCATTACTGTGGGCTGTGAAAAGAAGTGTAAATTTTTTTTAATTATCTTATTGTTATCGCTTTCTATAGCTTCCTGCATTTACCTTGCAAACTCCTTCTGGTAGTTTAGTACAACCTCATTAATTGCAATCTTAAAACGTTTTGATAACTGAATGTTTTCGGCTGCGAATTCACGGCCATTTGATGCCACGAAATTGCCCATATCATCCCAAGGATCGCAGCAGAATTCATCGTTTGCAAAGCGCTCTCAACAACCTTTGCATACTCGGAATCTTCTTGTCGTTGGCGCTTTGTCGAGGCTTTTGCTGACTTAGGTTGCACGATTTCTTCTTCGAGAAATTCAGGGTCATAAAGGGATTGCTCTTGCGAAGGTTCATTTATCTTTAAAGTAAAGAAGTTAATAAAATATAATTAAGATTATGTTTACTTCGTAACTAAACTTACATCTATTAAATTTGATGTTGTGGATGCCTCAACACGCAAAGTGGGCTCCAGAAATTTTAAAGCATTGTAAAACGGGTTTGAAGAAACCGTCTTTGTAGCACCCTGTCCGCTCTTACTCGCTCCTATCCTGTTAAACGATGCCTAGATTTGCATAAAATTTAATTAAAACTAATGTCATAAAAACCATAGAAAACGTACGCGGAAACCACAACGCAGGCTATTCCACTTTGTTGTAACTTCTGCTCGTGGTAACTCCAATACGTCGGCCACCTCTTGCCACAGAGCTTCTCTAAGGTTTCGGTCCCTGTACTCTTTGACCAAATAGTTCCAGGTGCCTTCCCTGATCTCGACTGCCTCAATAAGCTTCATGGTTTCTTGGTTCGTCCACTGATGCTGCAACTTCCGCACTCTTTTTTTACTTGTGACTTCACTGGGGCTTGATAATATAGGCTCCAATTCCAATGTCTCTATTTCCATCTTAATCTAAATATAAATAACAATTTAAAAACTAAATAAAGATCTTTTTAAGTTCGTACCATTGTTTCTTTCTTTTATGTTACTTCCCGCTCAAAAATCAGCTGTTTCTTTGTCGAATTTGCCAACATGTTGGCAAATGGATTTTTAATGTCAAATGTTGCCATATCAGAAAATTTCCGAAAATGTGGGCATT